TGTTTACTTCAGGTAATATTTTCGTGGATGAGGAAACCAAGAAATTTTGTTACTCTTTCGCGTCTATTTTCTGTGTTTTCACTAATTAGTTTTGGAAATCAAATATTCTTTTGCTTGATTTAAAAGATAAAACAATGAAAACTTTGTTTTTTTTTAAATTAATAAAAAGTTTGTTTGCTTTAAACCAAATTGAAATATTTTCTAACTCATCATTCGTTTGAACGAATATTTGAGGTACATCTTATTCTGAGATAAAAACTTACTGTCATTACCAAATATAACTATTGGTATACTTGACGCTATCCAGAGATCATTCACATAAATAAGGAAAACATGAGGCCCAAGAATAGAGCCTTGGGACACTCAGTAAGAAATTAAAGATGAACCTATTTGTTTATTGTTTCCATAATATATGTATTGCGTACGTTCACTCAGATTTTCTGCTATCCACCTGTTTGATATGCCTCTTATACCACATATCTTAAGTTTTTTTACAAGTGTTTTATGATCTACTGTATTATGTAGATGTCGGTATATAGACCTAACGCAAATTCTTCGTTTGCAAAAGAACTTTTTTATTTCATTACTTAAGTATAGCATTGCATGTTCTGTTGAAATTTTTTTTCTGAAAACTTTACATAAAGAAAAATCATTATCTTCAAAAATGGTATGTAATGTATTAAACATATTTCGTTCAGAAATCTTAGAAAAAATGGAAAGTATTGATATTGGTCTTTAATTACCAATATATTTTTATCACCTGATTTAAATATAGGTTTAAATTTTGCTGTTTAAGTATTTCAGGAAAAATACCCTCTTTCATTGAACACTTACAAATTTTAAATGAAGGCAATTTTAATTCATTATAGCACTCAATTACGATGTTGCAATTTACGTTATTAATTCCAAGAGATTTATTTCGTTTTGAGCTCCTAAAAGCTGTTTTAAATTCTTTAAATTTTAATTATTCATTTTTAAGTTCTTTTTTGTTAAACTGGAGGTATTCCATGAATGATTTATTTACATTGAGAACTTTTGTGGCTAATTTAGGTCCTATATTTACAAAAAAGTTGTTAAATTCATTTAATATATTGTTTTCGTTGTCAATAGTTTTATTTTTAATATTTAGAATTTTTGGGAAACATGATTTATTGATTTTTGGTTTGCCAATTATTTCATTTAGAGTTAGCCAAGATCTCTAGGAAAACCAATTTTTTCCTAGAATTTAAGAAATTTCCTAGGCTTTTAATTGACAATTTTCAAAATGCTTTTTGTAATAGTTTAATTTTGCAATAGGTTTAATTATCTCAAAAAAATCCTAAATTTTTATATTCTTCTTTGGTTTTTATGCCTTAATGTTTATTGTATAGTCGCTGTTTTCACTTTGTAGATGTTTTTAAACCTTTACTAAACCATGGTGAACTTAAGTTATTTATTATTATTTTAATAGTTTTGTTTTCTTTAGGAAGTGTTTCTTGTACAAGTTTAAAAATGGAGTCTACATTTCTGAATCCATTTTGAAAAACAATTTGATTTTTTAATGACATAATCTGATTTGTAAATATAACATTAAGGTTTTGCTTTTGTTTATGCTTATTCGATATAATTGTTGAATTAAAAATTGGTATGCGATCTGTATATATTACCAGATTGAAATAAGTTTTTATGTGGTGTGATATAAAGTTGAAAGATATAATTGTTGAAATAAAAATTGGTATGTGATCTTTATATCACACCACATTGAAATAAGTTTCAATGCGGTGTGATAAAAAGTTAAACCCCCATAAAAATGCACCATATAAAGTTTAAACCCTTTCTTAATTTAAGGGGGTTACAAATTTTATATTTTCATAACTTTGGCAATAAAATATTAAAATGTTTCGGAATTCTATATCAATCAAGGGATCAACTATATAAACATGATTTAAAACAAATATATTTTAGTTTTACAAAAAGTTACTTAAATTGAGCAAATATTGCATGGAGTAGTACTTCTAAAGGCAAACTCTACAAAAGTTAGAAACACTCTACAAAAGTTAGAAACATGCTTTAAGAAGAATGAATTTTAAAAATAAAAACGAACATGCGAAACTACTTTTTGAAAATATGAATATTTATGCAATATATGAGCTAAACATATTTAAAATTTTTTCTCATGTACAAAAAAAAATTTCAACAATGTCCTTCAATTTATTCACAATCTCTATGAAATAAAATCTAAATTTTAAAAAACTTTTTAAAAAACTCTTTATACTAAACTAAGCAGGAACAATTAGAAACTACATACCGTGCTCCTCGTATTCGGAATAAAATCTTAGCAGCACGTGCAGAAAATATAAATTGTTTTTAAAAATTAATTAAGAACAATATTTTAGAGTATAAAAATCTTATTAATGATTTTTTTTAAATTTCTATTTTTATTTAAATTACAACTTTGAGAGATTTTTGTTTTTGGATCTTTATACAAAACTAAGCAGGAACAATTTGAAACTACATATCGTGCTCCTCGTATTCGGAATAAAATCTTAGCAACACGTGTAGAAACTATATATATAAAAAGCGGAATTTTTAAATAAATTTCGAAAACAAAAAGATTTTTGTACGCGCGTACATATAATGAATTTCAAAGCAATATCAGTTAATAATAATTAAAGTTTATTAATTTAAGTTTGTTGCGTAATATTAGGGAGGGGATCAATATATGTGATAATTTTTACTAAGGAGGCGGAGGATTTTGTGTAAAAATTGTCAAAAATTGCGTAACGTAGGGTAGAGCGGGGCATATAGGGGCACTTAAGAAACAAATGCTAGTTGCGGTAAACTAATCATTTCATCCCATTTTGGGTCATTGATCTTTCTTATACAATTTTTTACCATCGTTGTTTACATTAAACACTATTAATAATCGAAGTTAAGTTATAAAAATAACTATTTCTTTGAATTTATTACTAATATTGCTTTTCTAAATAATGAAAATAATATTTTAGACTTAAAATAAAATCATCAAACTGTAGACAAAATTGTAGTGATATAGTCAATTACATAAATAACTTGTTGTTATTTATACAAATATGCCGATATGCCCCACAAAAGTCACTTTACTGAAACTAAAACTATTCAAAAAGTTCAATTCCAGATATTTTTTTAAAAACAGATTCTAAAAGAGGATAAAAAAATACTATCTGAAAAATTAAAACTTTTTATACATAGAGCAAGTTAGCAATAGTTAATAGTAAGATAAGTCTTTTGTCGTTGCATCGTTTAAGGTGGTATGGTAAAAAAAAATATTTTTTGATTTCTAACTTTTTCTACATATCAAAATTAGTAGCATAGCTAAATAATGCTTAATTTAGTTTAAAATGCTGAAATAATTTTTTTTTTTATTTTTTTTATGGTGATTCAGCATTAAATGCAGAAAAATCAATAAAAAAGAAAACTACATTTTCTCAGCTTTTTTATGACATTACAAGCTAAAACTTACCGCACTGATGGATTATAGTGTATTGAACAAAACCTTATTATAAAAATTTAAAACAATAATTATTTTTAAAATGGCAGAAATTTTAATTTTAAAGGATATTTTCGATGCAAAAATCTTTGGTAAAATATAAATATATTCAAATGGAAACAAGTTTAAGGTTAGTTCTAGTAAAGTATTGCAGCTCTATCAATAAAGAAACAACCCTGAAAATTTGAAGTTAATTATATATCTGGTTAAAAAGATATGAATGATTTGCTGTTCGCAGTCAGAGAAAAAAATACAATTGAGAAATCAAACTTCAAAGTTTAAAAAAATTTACACTCATTCACTCATTTTAACTAGCAACATTATCAGATTTACAACATTTTTTAAGTTTTTAAGTAGTTTACAGGCCCGTAGGAACAAAAATAATATGGGGGGGGGGGGGAGAGGAGTGCTGGATTAAGGGATTCCTAAATAGTTTTAAGGACTTTTTTTTTTTTAACTCATTTTTTTCTCGAAATAAATAGCCGGAAAGTCTTAATCCGCCACTGTGGGGGAGGGGGAGGGGACGGGGGCCAGTAGTTCAAATAGTAGTACTTCAAAACTTTTTGCCAATAGAATTTATGCCAAAAATACGGATAAGAAACTAGGTCTTTTCTATTTTTTTTTTCTTTTATATCTTAATTTGTAATCGTTTGCTTTTATCTAAAGACTAATTTTGAAATGACTTATTTGGAAAGTTATTTGGGGAGGCAAATGCCCCTGCTGCTCCCTCTCCCCCGTTGCTACGGGCCTGGTTTAGTTTACTACGGGCCTGGTTTAATTATACAAACCTAAAAATAGAAACAACTATTTAAAATTTAGTTCTTAGACAAATATATCAATAGATAAAATGGTTGCTATGGGCGTAACTAAGTAAATTTCTTAACTTATAAGCTATAAAATTAATTATTTTAACTATTTTTTGTTATTAAAACCATATCATGTTAAATATGTTTGAAAAGCCAGTTAAATTTTATAAAATGTTAGCTAATAAAATAAAAATTAATTTTTTTAATGGAAATCGATAAGTTTTTACCATATAAACACCTTGAGAAAACAAGCAAATTTTGATTTTCGCAAACTTACTGATGCATTTTGGTACTTTTAATGCACTTCGGTACTTCTAAAATTACTTTTTTTTTTACAATTATGAAGCACAATAATAAATAAAATATATTAGTTTTAATATCAGAGTGCTTGGTAACCATATGGTAGGAGCGTATTAATCCGTTTAAATTTCTATCTTTTCAACTATTGTTGTCGTAGTATTTTATTTTGTATCTTTAAATTTAAATCTTTTTTAAAATTACTGAGAAATAAACATCTTTATACAATCTTTATACAATCTTTATACATCTTTATACAATCATGTGATAATCACGTGATAATCACATCTTTATACAATCATGTGATAATGCAAACAAATGATTTGAAATAATATAAAGTTGTACAGTATTTAAAATAACAAACAAAAAACGAAATAAAAATTTAAATATGTGTTAAAAAAAACTTTTAACTTTAAATACTACAATATTTTTTTTTTACTATTAACAAAAGTTACTCTCTGGCAATGGGTAATAGCTTTGGGGCACCGTGGTCCTGAGCTTCCTATATAAAAAAAATTCAATTTAATTACATTAAAGATTAGAATGCAATAAACAAATAATATAAATAACAAATAAATAATATAAATACAAGAAAATACAATAAAACTATAAAGTTGAAAATATAATTTTTTTTTTTTTTGCTGATCAATTTAAAAGTAAGAAGTTTTTATTTGCATTTTCACATGCATGAAACAATGGTAAAACTTACATGAAATAGTAATTTAATTACTGTAGGACACCATAAGTTTCAACAACAATTTTTACTACTAACAACTATTTTTAATAGAAACAACTCAGCATATGACTCATTTCAAAGATTCTAGGGCAAAGTCAGTCAACTTACAAACAGGAAAACTATGGGGAAGATGTTTTTTTAAAAATACAGAGCGTATAGCCAAAAAGTGTGCGAATAATTCAAGAAACATCAATAAAATGAAGTGCACGAAAGTGTCTTTTTCATATCAATGATAACCGTGACTTCAAAATAAATCTGTTTGGTAGAGTAGTATGAAAATTATTTGAAAAAAATTTTTTTTCCAGTTACACCTCTAGGTTTCGTCTATATAATATAATAATACTGGATTTTAAAAACATTTTATTGGAAAATATTTTTATGAGTCTCAAGTGTCCTTTAAATATTTAACAAGTTCCTAATATGGTCCTAAAAAATTTAGTCTGTACATTTATATATATATATATATATATATATATATATATATATATATATATATATATATATATATATATATATATATATATATATATATATATATATATATATATAAATATATATATATATATATATATATATATATATATATATATATATATATATATATATATATATATATATATATATATTTGAAATCTTTATTAAATTTTGTTTCTTTTGAGTGACAGGTTAATGAGCGTTTGAAGAAAATTTTTTTTACATAAGACCCTTTCAAAAAAAATATTAAAAGCCAGAGTTTTTTTATTACATAGAACAAACTTAGGGGTACAACAGGAAAAAATTTTAAAAACGTAATTGTCATTTATATAACATTATATAAATTTTCAAACGTAATACTGCTGTTGAGGTATTTTTGTTCCCAGCTTCCAATAGCTGTTATTTTGCAAAACATTTTCTGCGACATAAGCATAAACTTAAATTTGGTTTCTACAATGTCCGGAATCATCATATCTTAAAATTCGATAAATTATGTTTTTAAACATTATTGGAACATTACTGGAACATTATTAGGTAAAGTATGTATTATGTCAGTAGATATGGATACGAGACGATAGCCATTTTGAAATGAATAATTGAAATGTAAGTAAACAAAATTATAAAATCTTTTAAGTTTGAAGGTGTGTTCAAATATTCATCTCAATCAACTGCAATGTCTTTACAAATACTAATTTATTTCTTAATGGAAAATAAAGTAAAAAAATTTAAATATAAACTAAAAGTGCTTAAAGAATAATTAAATAAAAAAGAATAGATTAAAAAAAAATTACAAAAAAAAATTCTCCTAAAAAAAATAAAAAAAATATGACATAATAAATAGAAAAGAATAACTGAATTTCAAATCATTTAAATTAATTACTAAAAAAAAAATATTAAATAACCATAATTTCTGTTTGTATAATGTACAAATCTATGTTTTTATGTTTTTGTTTTGTCATTTATTGTTTGTTTTAATTGAGGTTTTTTGTTTTGGTTATTTTTTAAATACATTTATAAAAAAAGATTCTTACAATATTTATCTTTTACATATTTACATATATTAAAATGTAATTTTTTTTGTAAGTTATTTTAAAGTGCAATGTGATTTACTTTAATTGGCTTCTTTTCTTTCAATTATCTTATTTTATTAGACTGTTATTTTTTAATAGCCTCATCTTTATCATCTTCTATTCTCTGGAAATGATGTTATTGTAATTGCTATCGCCATTAACTTGATGTTTCACTTCTTCGATCGGATTTCGTTTTGCGTGACATCGTCCTAATCAATATTTAACCTTTTATTATTTTTATCCGCTTATTATAAGTATTATTTCTTAATATTGTCATGTTATTATGTTATTATTTTAATATTGTCATTTTGTTATTTTTAGCGCCGCTGTTATAACTACAATTGCTGTTATCTATGCTTGGTGTCAATTTGTTGATCCGGCTACTGTTTGAGTGACACCATAATTCATTTTTTAATCAATTTTATCATATGGTAATTAATTTTAGAATTATTAATGTTTATATCAATATTATATTTTATTATTCACATATTTTCAATGTAACAATTGCAAAATTAAATAAAATTGTTATTATTGCTATTTTTGTTGTTGATATAAATGTTATGAATAAAAGTTATAGATTCGAAGACAGGGTGAGGGTGGGAATCACAAGTTCAAAGATAATCATGTCAAGTCTTTTATACCCGCGTAACATTACTGTATGGTGTGTAGTAATAACTCAATTCATCGTTGGGTACCATATTTTGGATGAACTAAAATGTAAGAAAGTTAACAGTGCAAACTAAAGATATACACTGCAGAAAATATAATGTCAACAGGAAGGTAATACGTTCCATACTGTTCAAAAAATAATAGTTGCGTTACAAAAAGGTATTTTCCGATAAGATCAACACAAATACCTATATTTTATTTTGCTTACACGGCCACTGAATGTAGTATCTCCGAACTTTTAGTATCTCCGAACTTTTTGTAGGTTTACCTATAGTCTAAATTATGCATGAGCCGGCCATCAATTTTGCAGCAAAAAAGCCCAAATTTTCTGCCTTTTTAATGGGGCCTAATTACTAGACATTATTCTTACAACTTTGTGTAAAAAGTTAAAAAAAAATAACTCTCATTTATTGTTCACTCTTAACACATAAATCCAATAAAATGCTATGAGAAAAAATATTGTATAATTATGATAATCATGTTATAGTTATTTTTTAAATTATCTTGTATAATTATGTATAACTATGTTATGAGACGCTTTGTATAGTCGATAGTATCATAGTTTACTAAAATCAAAAAAAAAGAAACATACCAGTGATTCCTGAACCAGAGAACAAAACGGGCAAAACAAATGACATAAAAAATCTTCAGGACAGGATCCCTTAATTTATGAAATAAAATAAAAAATTAATCGCTTGTTTGTTAAATATACTTCAATACAAATCAATAATGTTTTAAAATTGCATTATTAAATAAATAATTATTTAAGTTGTATCCTTAAAGTTTTTTCCAACTTAACTTTTTACTGCTAAATTTAAAGTTCATTTTACTTCATGCTAAATCCTAATCAAAAAGTTTGAACTTTGCAAAAATAAAATTTTTATTAGGTCTAGGAGAAAAAATGTTCAGAACTTGTGGTGCCTAATAAACAGGTTGGAATGGTCATTCGGCATCTCAGAGTACATGGTAGAAATATTTAAAAAAATTGCTACAAGAAGCATTACCTTAATGCTGTGTTTTTCACGAATTTTTGCACGAATCATGGCTCTAGTTATTGGCCCAACACACGTTATACCTAAACATCCATACAGCAAACAGTTTTCATTTACATGTTCAGCATTTTTACCAGCAGTGATACAAGGTAAAAAGTATGTTATAAGGCATGTAGTAATATCATCAAAGCAATGAAATGTTCCGTGCTTAAAATCTCCCATGTTGAAGTTTTTTGTTTTTCAAATGCTTTTGCTGTAACCTTCTGATTGTAAAAATATTTTATTGTTAAACAGTTTAATTCCTGATTTGTAGATAATACTATAGACGGGGGTTGACTATTATAGATTTGCCATTTCTATAACATTTTATTAGAATAATATTTTAAACATATTATTGATTGATTATTATAACTTATAATTATCAGAATTGAAATATAATGCAACTATTAATAATAGTGTAGCTATTTAAAATATTATAAATTTTTTTCAAAACAACTTCTTAAATTTTTAAACAAACCCATAAATTTTTTGATCTCCATTTTTCTACGATTGTTATCTATGACACAAACAAAACTTTACACTAATTAAACATTAAGAGATATTCACTTAATAAAAAACTCAGGTAACATTTATAAGATATTTCATTTATTATATAAAGGAAACGTAAAGGAAACAACGATAAAACAAACTTTAGCCTTCACTATTTATGATTCCTTCATTAAATAAATTATTTTGGAAATATTGGACTATCTAAATTCACAATTAATTTTTCTAATAACTTTTAAAGCGTAATAATATAAAAAATGTTGAAATATAAATGAAGTCAACAAACCCTAAACCGATCTAATTGGCTTTATAATAATATTTTTCCACTTTTTGTGGTTTTCAATCCGTCAGTTAGAAAAAAAGAATGAAAGTTATCAAAGTAAAAAATTTTGTAATTAGTTTTAATAACTAATTCTAGTCATAAAGTCAAACATATTTTATTTGTTGAAATCAATGAAGCATTCATAATATATATTGTTTTGAGTTTAGCGTTTAACTTTTATTAGGATAAATTAACTTCAATTTAAATAAAAATGGGCGCCCATAAGATTTTTTGATATATTAGATATGACACTTTCAGAAATTGTAAATTACAAACTAAAGTATATTCTCCCCAAATTAGGGTATGGTAAATGGTACCCAAATTAGGGTATGGTAAATCGAACACTTAATAATACTTAATAAATCGAACAAAATAATACCCAAATTAGGGTATGGTAAATCGAACACTTGTTTACTGATTTAAATCTTGATTCAAGAATATTTAAAACTTAAATATACTGCCAGTAAATCAACACACATAAACACACACACCCACGAACGCATCTAAACAGAAAAAAAAAACATAAACACACACGCACACACCCACATAAATGCAAAACAATCCAAACAGAAAAAAACAACATATAAACACACAAGCACACACACACGCACACACACAAACACACACACACACACACACACACACATGAACGCAAAGCAATCCAAACAGGAAAAAAAACAATAGTTTTAAACTCAAATCAATTGTTCTCTTAAATGCTTATTTGGCTCAATATTTACCAATTAACAACTCCGCAGCCAAAAAGGGACATGAAGACTTTCTGGGTGAGTTAATTTTCCTGACTCTTAAAAAATTGCCAAAAAATCTATTCATAAATATTTTTATTAAAATAAAACAATTTTCAGTGTCTTTGGAGAAAAACGTTGCAGTAAAGTAATATTTATCTTATGCTCATAGGAAAAAATCACAAGGTTTGCTTTGGAGTCTTTCCTAAAATAATAACGCAGATATTGGGGAAGGTTTTTTGAAAAACGTAGAATTAAGTACAAGGCAGTGACGGTCTGACTATCTTTTGTTTTCAATCTTGCCTAAAACTTGATTTCTTTTTTTAACAAAAGCATCAAATTTCATAAGTTTTAAAATTCATTATTATGTTGCTTAACATAGATATGTCAAATTAACTGAAAAACTTTTTTTTTTTTAAAGTCTCGAAAAATTCATTCGTTAAGGGAAGCGGGGGCGGTTTTGTTATAAACGGAAGGAGTAGTTGAAAGCATATAGGTGCGTACAAGAGAGAGTGGGTCATAAATTAGTGGTTTTACTGCGTACGTACTTTATGGGTGATCCATTTCCATGTGTTTGTGTGTGTATATGACCAACAAGAAGGGGACATTATAAAAGTGACCGTGACTACGGGTGAGGAGAAATTATATAAGTGATATGGGTATCCTCTAGAAACTGATTGATACAATTTTCGTTCCTCAGGCTCTTAATAGATTTTTCAAATGCAACAATAATTATTTCTGCTTATCTTAAATCACATCTTTCCGACTGCATTAAGAGATTTGCTGGGCTTAACAAAAGAATAACACGCAGCTCCTTTACTTACAGCATTGTCACAAAGTTTTCTCTTACTATTTCATTTTTAACATACCTTAAAACAAGTGAAAAGTTTCCTTCCCATGTCTTATGGTATAAAATAAAATTTCAAACTGTTTTAATATAGAATAAAATTTCAAACTTGAATAGAATTTCAAGTCTCTAATAATTGTTAAAAAGATCTTTAAATCTCTTCAGCAATCATTTCCTTGAGATTTTTGCATTTCTAGAGATGTTTCAGAAGCATTTTTAGATATAGCAGACATAATGCCTGCAAACTTCGTATAGTTTTTTTGGTATACTGAAATAAGAAAACAAAGAGATTATTCAACTTCCATCAATTTTTGTTAAACTTGCTAAACTCTCGTATAACTTTCCACGAAATACAAATTTGTCGATGGCTACGAAATGCCACTAATTGCAATTGTTGTAAAATTATACTATAAACAATTGTTATCAACTGCATGGATGATGCAACATGAAAAGCCGTAAACAGTTCTATTCCGAACTGAGTATTCAAGCCAAAATCGTTTATAAACCAAGAAGCCCTGATAGGTATTTTGTTATTGTCATTCTCACTCTAAAGCTTTGGAGAATAAGCTGAAAATCTTGACTTTACTGGAGCAAATTATTAGAATGAGAAGGTAATATAAAGAAATAAGAGTATGATGAGCTGATGCAGTTTTCACTGCAGCACTGACTTTTTTGGATCACGTTGTTTAGAAGAGACATTCCAATTGAATTTAGGCTGTTCTACTGTAGATGACAACAAAATAGATTTAAGCTTAAAAAAGTATTGAAAAACAATTTTTTAGTACATTAAAACAAGTCAAGTAAAAATTATAATAATTTAATTAAACACAAATAGTTTTTTCTAGTTTTTTTTTTCTTTTTTCTAATCAGCTTTAAGATAGTTGTAAGCTGTACAATGATAGGGGGATATTGGCTGAAGGATAACAGCAAAATGCTTGGTCCATTTGATCAGAAGTAACATAAAAAAGTCTTTAGATCAAGGAGAGCAATATAAAACAAAGAGAAAGGCGAGAGGAGATAATGGAATGGGTTACCTAGTCATAAAAATAGAAACACAAGCAAAACCCGTGGATTGAGTCAAGAAGATACAAGATTCAACATCCTAAACTGGAAACAATTAATTATAAATACATCTACGCCAGTCTATTAGACAAAGATGGGGTGCAAGGCCAACTAGCAGATAGAATCTGTTTACCCCTTAAGTCTTTGCCTAGGAAGCCTTCTACAAGACAGTAGTCGGACGCAGTTAACATCTGCCCAAGATAAATATTGTTATCGAGACCATAACTCTAACCTTTAATCAACCAAGACCCCCAAGACAGGGGGCGTTTTAAATTAACGTTGACATTTCCTAGTTTTTGCCTAATATAGCGTAGTAGGACATTAAATAGGTTGTACTGGATTACATGTTACCAGTAGCAGAATAACCTGACCTAACATTAACAAGAGTAAACAAGGCTTTCTCCTAATATTTAACTAAAATATTTTTCCAGCATGGAAGTTAATGACATACAACAATTTTATTATAGATATTTTGATAATGGTTTCATAATCTGACCAAAACACCTGGACATCATTAAGTTTTTAAATTCTTTAATAAGATAACAAATAAGTTTAATTAGTTTCACCATAGACCTGGGCAAAGAATTTCTGAAAGATAACAATGCTAATAATTTCTCAGACATATCAATCATTCTTGAAAACCGCAGTAAAAAAAACCTTGATTTATATTATAAAGAACTCAATACTTGAGATTTCTGAAACTACAACAGCCATTATCCATATCACATAAAAAAGAACATTCCTCATAACTCGCTAAAAAAACACTTTTTTTGTTTTACCTCAGATAATCTTTAAATGAAAAAGTAAAGGAAGATTTTTTGAATATCCAGTCAGTAATTGCATTTAAACAACCACCCAATTTACTAAGAACGCTTACTTCTGCAAAAACCCAATTAACCAATAAAGATGTCGAGTCATTTAAATGTAAAAATAATCGTTTCAAAAAATATTGAATTTCAGAATTCAGCTAGTTTTTTTACATACAATATTAGTTATAGTGACAATCGGCACAATAATTAAATTTTATATCTTGCTTCCTAAAAAAATAGATATTGAATCCCAGCTAGCACACATACGTTGTTAAAACATTAGAACAATGTCGCGCATTTCGTTGGCCCAATATCGGCTGCCAACGTTGTTTTTATATCATTATGGTTACAAATGCGACGTCGCCAACAACTAAAAACCAATGTTGATGAAACTTTTGTTTAAAGTCGGAAAATGGTTATATTTTCTACGTTGGTTCAATGTTTCATTTTATACGTTGGCCCAACGTTAAATTTTAAGTTGGCACAACGTTGAATTTACGTTAGTAGAACTTTAATTGGCAAAACGTTGTATTCAATGTTATTCGGAATTAAATTTTCATTAAATTCTACTTTCGTTATATACATAAAAGTAGTAGGAGAAGGAGAGTTCAGGGGCATTTTCATTTTCAACCATATTTTCAACCATATATTTTAAAAAATATAGGGTTCATTTCTAACCATGATGTGTATAAATTATTTAGATAAGAAATTTTTTCAATTTTTAAAAAAATTGAAAAATTGAATTTTTTTAAATAAGTGTTAATTTTTTATTTCTTGTTATGAAATATTACGAAAAATTCTTGCATGACGTCATAGGTCACGTGATTTTCTTGCGCTGTATTTTATTTAGAAATACTTTATTATATAATATTTGTCTTATTACTTCTATTAAATATTTTGCTTTTGCTTTTGGCTTTGATATTTCTTCATTTTTTTCATTGAAT